ATGAGTCCTAATGATTGCATTACCAAAACTGTACTTACATTCATGTAATCATACAGCCTTTCTGAAGCAGTTCCTACTGATAAAGCAATATCTGCAGGGAAGCAATGCAGATATCTTCGAGCAAAAACATCAGGGTGGTGGTTCCTCCAAAAATCCTCTAATTCTCCCTTTTCTTTCAGCTGTTTCTTGATAGATTTGAATCGAATCAGGGGGATTCTATGCAAATAAAATAAACACACAAAAAAATAACTGGTTCGTCATTCTAGAACTCCCATATACTCTTTTCTTTAAAAAATGTTTCTTTTTTGAGACAAGTAGCAATAGGCACAGGTCACCCTGGGAAGCCAGCTGACACATAATGCCAGATGTGTTTTCTTACCGTTCCATGGCCAGGATGAATGGGATGTAAACCACAGCCAACAGTATCACTCTCATGGTTCCAAGTGGCTCAGAGTCTGACATTCCTTTGCTCAGAAGTCCCTTTTTTATGGCCTGTTGTCAGCAGAGGGCCATTCGCCAGGTCAATCAATCGCAGGAGGTCAGTGCTTTGGCAGAAAACCGATTAATTTACCCTCAGATTAACCACTGGATTGTGCAAATAGTGATGCCCAGTGGAACTACTCAGGCACAGATAACCAGGGCACAAACAGACATTTTCATAACAATCCTTAATGTCTTTTACATAAATATGATATATGGGGTGAGCTTGGCTCCTCTTAGCATGGGAAAGAGGAAGCAGTCCAAGGACTTCATGCTTTTCAAGCTTGCTTTAGTGAGAAATCCCTTAGAAGTGTTCAACATGGAGAAAGAGAACATAACATATAACCATTTCCCTTTTGCAGGGAGACATTTCAGCAGGGCCGAGCAGACAGACGTTTGATGGGCTTGTGACAAGTCACCCCCTAACAGCTCATGTTTAATTCCCTATTTATGGGAGAACTCCAGTCTAAACATAAATTTGACTGCCACCCCAGAAAATGGGTCTTCAAAGTAAAAAACACAGTAGCCTGCAACATACAGTAATAAACAGCTAGAAGCTTTGCACACCTTTCAGCAAGACATTTGGAAGGGCTCGCTTCGATTTATTTTCCTGGGAGTTTCTTGAGGTTAGTGGCTCCCACCCCTTCTTGACACTTGGGTTCAAGTCAAGCCTTCAAAAAAATAATGGTGTCAAAAAGAGACTCTGAGCTGGCAGACTGCAACCCCAAACCTATTAGCTGCCTGGGAAGAAGCTCAGCACCGAGTCTGCAATTTACTTTCAAGACTTTTTGAATCTTTCCTCTACACAAGAAAGTGTGGTAAGCAACTGCATACTGCAGCCTAGCATATATTAAAGCCAAATTTGAATAAACAGCCATTTTTGTTCAAAGTACTATGGTAGGAGGCTGGGAAAAGACCAACAATATTCTTTCCCCTGCAACACATCATTTATTAAAAATAAACTGCTCACCGTGTGAAGGTGAACTGGAACTAGGTAATCCTCCCAAAAGAGAGCAGATGTGCGACAGCACGGAGCTAAGAGTGAATATCAAGGATATGGAGGAGGCAGGTGTCATCATCTAGCAACAATGCTCCAGTCAAGAAAAAACAGCAGAAAAAACAAAACACATGGTGTTTGTGAGAAAAGACAGGGTCTAAATGCCTGTCACAGACTTTAAAGAAATGAAATGCAAACCATTATCAGAATATCCTAAAGAAATTCTTAAAAATTGTTCCTTTTAATCTCTTCCCTTGTTATGTCAGACTAATTAAGAATGGGCATGAGAACCTTAAAATCAGTAAGTTTAGAGCTCTATTCATTAGTCTCCTGGATTTTGAAATACATAGTTTGCTTTTTCTAATGTACCTCCAAAATTGTGAGGGCTAAACAAACTCAGCAAAGGCTGAGCATGGTGTCATCACACAGCTGTGTGCAGAGCTCTGGATCTGAAAAAGCACCAGCATCTCTATTACCATATTTTGTTTCAAAAAATAATAGAATCTCAAAAATGCATATTGATTTCTACTTTATTGTGATGTTTTGTTCAATTATCTAGCTCTGAGTAATGTTCCCCATTTCTTCTGGACTCGGGGGTTTTAGACAAGTTATCAGTGAACATCCACATTTTCTGTCCCACAGTCATCCCAACCACTGAGCTGCAGGAGCTGGATGCTGGAAATGAGACTGGTCAGCAAAGATGTGGCCATTTGTGAACTTCCAGAAAGCAAAGGCATTTCTCAAGGAGACTCCACTGCCACCTGATGCACAGCAAGTCCCGGGGTAGGGCAGTGTCACTTTGACAAGAGTAAGACAATGTCTGTGCTGAATGCCTTTATCACTTGAACTTTTCCTCAAATGCCAGAAATGCTTCTGGGAAGTCATTAATGTTCATGTTGGAGGGCATCATGATAACTTCGAAGACGTGAAGTGGCTTTCAAAACACCACCTGGGTCTACTGAGGAGACTGCCTTTGCCTTAGAGGCTCCACCGAGTCCTTGATTCTCAGAAAGAACATGATTGTTCAGTTTACTGCAAGTGTAGCCCTTTATTAATCCACATATGAAGGTTATTCTTTCCCAAATTCCCTGATTTCACAGTATGTTCCAAACAGACAGTCATTTAGCTAACAGAGGTACAAAATACAGCAACAGAAGGTCATCATGACTTTTTTTTGATAAGCTGGAATAATGATTAAACTACAATCCAGAGGATCCCTAAGAAACAGTTATCTGCAGCTTAAAAGTTCCATTAAGTAGAAATAATTCAAGTAGAAAAAATATATCCCTATTTCTGTCTATAGACAGAGTACATTGTGAAGTTATTTGTCTATATATGGATTATTGAGAAAAATATGCCTACACTATATTATTAATATATTCGTACCTACACTTTCATGTTGTTCTGATTAGCAGGTTATCTGAAAAGATTTGTCTAAGGGACATGTCTTCACCATGGATGTAAATTCATTATTATTTATGCCAAATGCATTTGGTTTTCCACAACTGTAACCTACAGTGCCTTAGGAGGAGGGACCCTTGCCTTTAGAAGGTGCCACAGCTGCTTAGAAATGAAAACAAATACAACAACCCACTGAATGAGAATATTTTCTTAAATGTCAGATCACATTCCAGGGTAACTGCTTGGAAAAGGATGCCCTGCAAAATCCAGAAATTACACATTCCCCACGGTGGTCCTCTGACAGGGTACGTGGTGTTAGAGCAGTAAAGAAGGGACTGGTTGGAGGTGTTTGTTCAGTGCGAACTGGCCTGTTGCTGCTGGGATGCCATGCACAGCACGTCCTGCCTTCTGTCACCAGAGAGGGAATTTTCAGCACCTCTCTTCCACAGCACCACCACAGATGAATGTGACATTATCTTTGTTCTCCAGGCTTGATACTCTGCTCAGCTTTTCCATCCATGCCTATTTTATGGCACTCAGGTCTCAGGACTCATTGTTCTCCATCCTGCTGCAATACTGGTTCCCAGATGCCCTCCCTGTTGTTCTCCTCCCCGAGGAAGCCCTCCATACATTTCATAGCATCACTTCTGCATGGCACAGCCACTCATCTTGCAGGGAAAAGGCTAGTAAACATCCTATAGCCTATATCCAATTGATAGCTAAGACCTGACTTACATTTGAAAACAAGTTATAGTAGAGAGCTCTCTATTAGATTTGACTAGAGATCCAGAGGCCACCTTAACTGTTTGATATTGCCTTTTTCTCAATCTTCTGTTTGCTCTGCCTTTTGTTTTTCCAAGAGCGTGTGGCTTTCAGCAGTCACAGATTTTGGTAGTGCAGCACTTATGCCCAGAAAACAACTGCAGACTGTTTGAAGAAAATTTTCTCCCATCCAAGGTTCATGGTACAGCCATAGCCAACAGACAGGTAGGACAATCATAGAATGGTTTGGGTTGGAAGGAATCTTAGAGATCATGTAGTTCCAGCCCCCCCGCCTTGGGCAGGGACACACATGAATCCCCAAGAAAACCTAAAAGAGCAGCAGCTCAAGAAATCAAACTATGCAGAGGTTCCTCCACATGGGAATGCTCCTCCTAGAAATCAGAGGTACTCCTGATCTGAATAGCAAAATGGGTCTTGATGAGAGAAGGAGGAGAACAGTTTACACTGTCATGTAACTTTTTAACATCATATTTATCTCACTCATAACAAGTGAAAATCTTGATGGAATTAAATCCATGGGAGTTTCTTGACAAGTTTAGGTACAGACATGGGAACTACAGTAGCACAGTAGAAAGGTATATGGAGAACAGCCTTGGCAGTTTGTGATAGCTCATTAAATAGGGATTGAGACAAAAAGTAAAACATAATGTAATGAAAAAGGCCAAGAGTGCCAGAGCCTATAATAAATACCATTAAATTGGGAACATAAATAGTAGAACAGCTCAAGATAGCAGTTTACCAAGTATCTGTGTTAAAGCTTTAAGATAACTACCGGGCGGCAAGTTACACTCTGAAACTATGTGGCACCTTGCAAAATACATCCCTGAAAGTGCCACTTGTCTGGAAAGTCAGTCAGATATTGACTGGTATTTTAAACAATTTGACTATATTTGACATTTCTGCTGAAAGTCTCATAAAAGTTAAGCATTTGAGTTTAAAAATTTGGCTTTCTGTAGAATTTACTTTACCAAGCCAACCCCCACTGCCCTTACTGGCCACACAGTGAGAGCAAGAGGTAGGAGCTGGGGCATTGGGGTGACTGTTTGGGGCAAAATCAGAGAACACTTACAGTGCGCAAGAAGAGGCAAGAAGGAATGTTTTTGGAGGCAGTGAGTGGGAGTGTGGGTGAGAGAGGGAGACCTGTCTATAATCCCCATCACCAAACACTCATTCGGTTATCAGAAATATTTCAGAGCCCTTGAGATTAACGGCTGGTGCCCTGTAAACAAAGCCTTATATTGGGAAGACAGAGTTACTGGCAGGCTAGTGCACAGCAGGAGAAAACCAAGGTGGGCCCCTGTCCCTCACAGTCCCGGCCATCCTAAAACAAAATCCCAGGATGGGCAACAATCTGAAAGCCATAGTTGCTTTTGTGCCCTCCAGCAAGTGCCAGAAGTACCTCCTAGAAGACCTAGAAGAGATGCCAGTGGATAAAATGGTGGATATGAGTGGCAGGCAGCTGAGGCGGCTGCCTCTGCACATTTGCTCTTTTCGGGAACTGGTTAAGCTGTACCTGAGCGACAACAACCTGAACCATCTGCCCCCCGAGCTGGAGCAGCTGCAAAACCTGCAGATATTGGCACTGGACTTCAACAACTTCAAAGCGCTGCCCCTAGTTGTGTGCACACTGAAGCAGCTGTGCATTCTCTACCTGGGCAACAACAAGCTCTGCAGCCTGCCCCTTGAGCTGCGGCTCCTGCAGAACCTCAAGACCCTCTGGATCGAGTCCAACTGCCTGCAGTACCTGCCCGAGGTGGTGTGTGAGCTCAGCCTGCTGAAGACCCTGCACGCCGGCTCCAACGCACTGCGCACACTCCCTCCCCAGCTGCAGTGCCTGCAGGAGCTGCGCACCATCTGGCTGTCAGGCAACCTGCTCTCTGAGTTTCCTCCTGTGCTCCTGAACATGCCATTTCTGGAGGTCATTGACGTGGACCGCAATTCCATCCGGTTCTTCCCCAGCCTAGCTCACCTCCCTGGCCTGAAGCTGGTGATCTATGACCACAACCCCTGCAGGAACGCTCCCAAAGTGGCCAAAGGAGTGCGCAGGGTGGGGAGGTGGTCAGAGGAGACTCCTGAGCCCCGCAAGCGGTCCGGGGCAGTGATAGATATCACGCTTGACGAGAAACCCTTGCTACCTCCTGCCGCGAAGACCAAGCCAGAAGCCGAGCCCTGCTGATGCTCAACTTCCCATTCTGGCGAACGTGGCAGCACACCCACACCACCGCCTGACCTCTACCTCTTCCTTGCGTGCTGGTGTCCAGGCACCACCACACTGCCTGGCTTGTCTTCAGGGGTAGGTACAGCGGCTTGGAGCTGTGTGACAGCAAAACTCTTGTACAGACCTGCTCTTTCGCACAGTACCCCTAGAGCAGACTTATTCCTCCCTTTCCTCCTCCTCCCACGACGGGACCACTGAGTTCACGGTAGAGGTGAAGACTTACTTTAGATGTTTTCCATGGGTGGATTGCACGGCGCATGTATGGACTTGCTGCTCTTCACCCATGGGCTCATTCTCGCTTTCACCTTGCTGGTGTCTGAGCTCAGCTGGAAGCCAATGCTCAAGGTGATCACTCCTGAGAGCCACAGCTCTAAAGCAACCCACAGCATTTGTCTCAAATGACTTACCTGAAACGCAGCAACAGCTTGAAGATTCCCATGCCTGCCACATGGGAAGTGGCAGTGGAGCCCTGGCTGCACTATCAAGGAAACTGCACCGCACGTAGGTAACAGGGAGCTCTGCTCTTATCAGTGCTGCCTTCTTCCTGCAAAATTTGCAACTTTGTTACTGTCAAGCAGCATTTCAGATGATGGTGAGGAAAGTAGAGGCTTTGCTGCTAGTTTTTGTATCCAACACCACTGCCTGTAAGGGCAGCTGTAAGGACAAGTTTTCATGCAGTAGCAAAGAAGGAAATCAAAGTCTGACTAAAGCAGCAAAAACACAAGAGCAGCAAAGGTAAACTTGCATGAATAAAACCCAGGGCTAGGAGCCTGCTACTATAGGCCTGCACATAATCTGAAGCTAAGGTAAAGTTTACTCAGCTGATTTCAGCCAGGTATTTCTCCAGGTTGCAACTCTGACCAGTTTAGATGCCCTTCAAACTGCACTGAACTAACTTTTCTTTAAAGGAAACTTTGCTTTAATCTAGTAATACAGAAATCTGGCTCAAAATGAAATTTTAAACTTTTGATTCTATTGTATTTACTGAAAGACAGCTTTTGTAACGAGTGGAGAGCCCTTGGTGGTGCTCTCTTCAAGTTGAACTGCCTCACCAGTGCAGCCTGTAGAAGGGGCAATTGACTTTCAAGAAAAGGTTTGATTCCATGCCAGTTTGTAACTGTTTAATGTCATCTGCATGCCTGAAAAATTATTTGGAGATATACAGATTCTGCTAGCACTTGCTGTCTTGTTAAAGAAAGTCCAAATATGGATTTGGCTGGCACCCATATAGTGTGCTACTAGTCAAATTAAATAAAGTATAGTAGCAGCTTACCAAGTTAAACCATACCTCTTTGGAATTAACAGAATTCTCTTTCCAACAATTCCTTCCTACAAAAGGAAAGCAGAAGAGTTTGGGGCTTTTTTAACATCCAAGGTCAATGTTTTATTTCCTACAGAACTGACCCAGTACTGTGTTTATCTGAGGGGAGGGGGAGAAAGTGCTTTCACTGGCTTGTCAATGGTCTGTGTTTCACACAGCTCTCTCCAGACAGTATTGTCACTTCTGGAGAGCTGAAGAGAGTCTGTGTTGAGAGTTCAGGGGAGCATTCTGTAAGTAGATTCCCTCCACTTTAGGAAACCTAAGAGAAAAATGTTTGCACACATACTTCCTTATTTCAAATTAATGTTTCTGCTTTGGCAGACTTGCCCTGATGTTTGCCAGGCACTGCATTATGTGTGCAAGGGCCAGAAGAGTCACAACACTTGGCGAGCACCTCTGGGCTTCCAGAAACAGGGCCTCCACTTGCCTGTGCTTACAGTCATCACAAATCCATGTACAGACTGCTGCAGGCATCACAGACTTCCTTATGATCATGGATAAAGAAATCAGCCCAATTAAGAAACATGCTGCCTTTGCAGCAACTACTAGAATAGGAAAAAAAATATAAAGACAGGCTACAGCAGACATGAAAGGGGAGGTGTGTGTGAAGAGAATGCGAAGCAGCCTGAAACATTTTCTGCTAACTGCCCTCTATTACACGTTTGTAGTTGTCCAGAGCCCTTCATAGTTAAACACTCAGACTGTTCGTGCAGAATTTGCTCTCTCCCAAACCGCATCTTGCTCTCAACTCCCCTCAGCAGAACTCCTATCTACATAAAATTTGTGGTGTAAAAAGCTGTAAAATTACCTAGTTGTAGTTTTGATCATTAGCTAAGGTTCCTCTTTTTTATATAATGAAAGGAAGAGAAAAAGCTGAAGAGTAATATTCCAGGACCACAAGAAAAAGATATCATCTAACTTCAGAGCCTGTTTCAAGGATCCCAACTCAAAACCTATGCAGCCAAAACTGGAATACACCACTTAACTAAACGCACCAGGTCAACCCCAACCAGCAAGCCACAAGGGCCTAGTCTCTGCCTGAAGCGACTGAGGACCGAGGACGTGCATTGCAGCTGTCCTAATGGAACTGCCCTTCCTGGTTCTACACAAAGAAACGCAACTTCAGTGAATCGGAATTTTTTTTATTTATTTTTTTTATTTCTGTGTATTTTAAGTGGAACCTGGAGAGGAACAGAAGGAATAGGGTTGTATAAAACCCCTGTTTTACTTGAAAGTGAATTCTTCCCACAACACATGTAAGTTCCAGTAAGTTAAAACCAACTGAAGACAGAGCCATCGAAGGAGATCTGCTTGTCTCAAGCTTCTGTTCCATAACCTCACGAAAACTACATCATTAAAAAAAAAATTACTAGGTGAGATCTGGTCCACACATCCTCAGGTACCGAAGAAAATTTAACATGGGCGATGGTCTGGTACACGTTTTCTGGGGAGAAAAAGAAAAACCAGAAAATTCCCACCACGCTGATGTACACCAGCCCCTCCCCACCCACTCCTATTTTTAATCTTTAGCTGGTATTTTCTGTTCAGTGCCAGCTTTATCTCACAGCACAAAAGGCAGTATCACCTCAAAGCTAACACACCACCTGCAATCATGGCGAAAAAACCTGTGATTCAATAAGCAGTGCAAACTACCTGATAGCAGGTGGACATGGGATAACCCGCCCAAGAGCAGCAACTCTTCCCAAACTTTTTAACAAACGTGTTTTTGCTTAAGCTGCAGATTCCAGCTCAGAAGCAGCTGAGCACTCCATTACAATTGTCGCCAAAAGAAAAAAAAAAAAGCAGCATGATACATTACATTTTGGTCAGCTGGTTTTTGCAGATGTTTCACTGCTATATATGACAGGAGTAGCTGCTGATCTAAGATTAACTAGGCATTACTCAGGCACACCAATATAAGCTCACTGATGGCTCTAAAGGTCTGGTCATATTGCTAAAGCAATAAAATTATCAAATATGAACATCAGTAAGTCAGATGTCAGGTTTCATTTCAAATAAAGCATTTTTAGAACAAGGTTTTTCTGCACTGCTACTCTTCCACAGAAGGAGGTTACTCTATACCACTGTAACTGACCATTCAGATGCTCAGATCATACCTTGGTGCTGCTTTAATGATGTCATCTACACGAAGAATCATTTCTGCTGCTTCAGCTGCACTCAGCAAAACTTGTCTCTTAACTTGGAAACTTTCTGTTACTCCCAGAACTGCCATGTCTCCAATGATACCCTCTTTCATATCTGGAAGAAACACATTAAGAGGTTGTGTTTTTTTTTCTTAACTTGGCATTTTTTTACGGAAATTATAAGAAGGTGAGAGCACAGTAACTTACCTGCTCAAACAAACCATATTGATAGTAAGGGAAGTATTAAATAAAGTCTTTCACCTCAAGGCTCCCGATTTAAGCCTAACGTTGCAATTACACACAAAAAATTAACGATGAAAACTGTACACACTACGAAGAGGAGACAAGATCCCGACAGGACTCTCAGCACTATTTCATTAGGTATATTAACTTCAGAGTTCTTCTCTACAACTTTCTGGTGGTTGTTTTCTTTTTGGATTGTGGGGGGGAACAGGGAGGAGGATGTGTTTGCTTGTGCTAGGTTTTCGGTTGCATTTAAAACAATGTTTTTCTTTTTAAGCTTCATGTAACTAGACTCAATGTAAGTAAGGAAAATGTTTTTTAGAGGTAGAAACCATCCACTTCAAAAACAAAGGTTTTCACTCTACTGTCAAAAGCCTGGTAAAATGATAAAGGATGCCTAAGGTCTGTGCAAAGCAAACGGAAATCAACCTACTCAGTTCCGGCTGAATATCTGCGACAGACATGTGCGATCAACTGTAATGAGCCTGATCAGCCTGCCAAACAGCAATTCAAGCACAGAAATAATACTGAGCCCCTTACCCAGTCCATAAGTAGTCTTCCCTTCACTGTGAGCAGCTCTGAGCTGAGCAACCAAATCAGCACTGTCATAGCCAGCATTATCAGCTATTATTGTTGGGATCTAAGAGGATAAACACAGGTTGTTTTTAATTAACGCAGGGACTGATCCCTACTAAATATGAAACATACTTTGACATTACTAGTTTACAGCTGAATTTCAAGAAGAGGCTTCAAAAACATGGCAGATGATCTATTGCAGTGATTAGAAGACAGGGAAAGAAAAAAAAAACAAACTGCCTTTCTAAGGATTTCGTATAAGACCCTGTTGTAAGGAAAGTAGCAGAGAGGACAGAAGCATGTTAGCAGATTTGTCGGTTCATTTTACATGGACAGGGAAAAAAAAAAGAATCTTGTCTTTCATGAAGTTAGACTACAACTGGAGAAATATTTTAATTTTCAGAACATAAGCCTGCTGATAAGCATTAACCACCTGATCATTCCATTCACTGTTTCAGTGACAGCAGTGCAAAGTAATGTCAAGTGTTACCATGCTCTTGAATTTTATTTTCTTGGCAGAAATGTTTTCCTATAGTCTTTCATTTCCTAAGAAAGGTTTTCCCTAAAAATTTCCCTAAATTACAGGAAGGCAATTTGTTCTCAAATAGCACAATTCTATAAATGTTTCTTATGACACTCTTATTTCCTACTACGATGCAATCTCTAATGCAAGC